CCTGGGCCCGAGGCTTCCCGGCCGGTATCGGGGGCTGCCTTAGGCTGGGCTGCGGGGCTGCAGGATTCGTCCCGTGGCTGCTTTTGTGAGTCGCGGGCGCTGCCTCTGTCTTGCGTGGATAGGTGAAAGCATTCCTTTGCTCTGACACGGAGATCTCGCCACATCCGACGGTCGGGCGACGAGAGGAGCTGCCGTCGTTGTTCAGTGGGGTTTGAGATGGCAGTTTGGAAACCGGTAGAAAAAACCTGTGCTGACAAGGCAGGCCTTGATCTCTCTGGGGAACACTGAAGCTGATGGGAACCACGAGCGTAGAAACAGAGGATGCTCTTTTCTTCAGGTGCATGCTTCTAAAGACACCGTTCCCGGAATCTGTGTTCAAAATGGGTGTTTCTCTCCATCTCAACCCTCTTTCTGCTATAAAGTTTTGAAGCATTTTACAGCAGTCTGAGTCAGAAGCCCTGCAGATGCCTGCATTCAGAAAAATCAGTTTAGATGTATTTTGCAGAGGTGGTGTACATTATTGCAATTATTTCTGTTTAGTATTGAGACAATAAAGTCTGGAATGTGTTGTGTCTATGTACTTCTGTTACGAAAACCTTTCCCCATAGGATCGATATAGATTGTACTATGAAAGTGTACAAAAAAAGAGAAAACTTTCTTTAAAAATTTCAGCCAACGTCTCTGGCACTAAGTTTCAACAACAAAAGAGAGGTCCTAAAATGTGTGCATCGTTCCAGCTGATTTGTTAGCCCATAAAAGGGTATTCTGTTGTCCTTTTTATCTGCTTCTCTTTAGTAAATTTTATTTGCTCCATATCTGCTGGAATGAAGTACGCAACAGTGTGATTATAATTTGGTGTTTTATACCTTGCAGGTGACGTTGTAATACAATATAGTGCTTCCTCTTTTGTTTTCCCATATACAGTATCTCCTCCAAAGTTCATTTTTCTCAGGCTTTGTGTTTGCTGTGTCACAGTAAATCCTTCATTCTGTTGACATTTCTGTGACTATTGCAATATTTGTAGGAATGTTTTGTTTACCAAAATCAGAAGTTGTCTCTTTCTGTTCTTGCTATCTGCTACAATTATACAGTTTCAACTGGTAAAACCATAAATTGTAAGAATTATTACTTCAGACTTGGTTCCAAAATGTAGTTCCCATTTCTGGTGTAAAGCAGCCAAGTGTGTATAGCTTTAAAAGTCAAAGACAAGGAATAATAAATAATGGCATGTGGAGGCTGGGAAACTCCCAGGGAGCCAGGTATCCAGTTCTTCTTTTTCTGCCCCACTTCCGCAAGAATGTTCCAAATAAATTCCTTCTTTCTTCTTGGCCCATATTTTATTCAAGTTTTTCTCTTGCAAAATTGTCTGTTAATTTTATGCATGTCCTTTTTGTCCTTTTCTTCTCAATCCCTTCTTTGCTTAGGGACCATTTTGGTTTGGTTTTTTTTGTTCTCCTTATGCCAGGAGGAGATTCCCAGTAAATAAATGTTGAGTTCTTTCCCTGAGAAATCTCCTGAATCTCACTGTGTAGCTGTGGGAGAAGGATTACCACTTTCAGCTCCTGAAGTTACACTGGCTGCATGAGAATCTCAATATACAGTCATCATGTTTTTATGTTTGCAAAGAAAAACTTGAGAATATAAAATTTGAAATTTCTGTTGTCAATCAACAAGCGTAGGCACTCAATTTTAAAATAAAATACTAAAAAAATTTTAAAAAACAAAACACCTGGAATGATGCTGCTTTTTAATGTCTAGTGTTGGCAGTACACTCTCCTGTTTATGTGTACCTTGTGAGGTATTTTTGTGCAGTCTCTGTATTCATTATAAATTATTTTAACACACACATAAAGAACAGATGTCACCTTAGTATAATTCCCATTTGGAAACTGCCAGCATTAGTAATGGCAATGTAAGAAGAGAGAGGAGCCACCTGGATAAACCAGATACTCTTTCAAGAACCTGAGGTGTAGGCAAGCTCTGGAGTGATGAATGTTTTAACATTTAATCTGCTCCTACCTATTGTACTTCAAAGGCTCTAGAGTGAGCAGCCTGTGCCCAAACTGGTTGTATTTCTCCCATATTTTTGTTAATAGGCAATGACACATCAGACACACTCGTATGCATTAAAGAAGGCACATGACACCTCATTCAAATGTATGTAGCCATTATTAAAGATGCTCAGCATAATAAGCTCAGATGATTGCCAAGTTACTTAAGCAAATACACTTAGAGTGCCATTTAGCCATACACCTTGGAAACAAATAACTATTCTTTCATTTTGCATCTTCTAAAATGCAGCTCTGCCCCTCTATAGTGATGCAGTAATATATAGCAAAAGCATTATCCTTAAGTGACATGATCTCGTTGTGCAAATACCTCCCAATGACTCCAGATCTGTATTATAGAGACAACTTGCCTTAGAGATTCAAAAATCCAATTTCTTCAAGCCTGCAAAGCTTATTATGTTCAACTTCTATTTGGCATGCCAATCTTGAAGCTTTCTAACCGTAATGGTTAGTTCTTATGTAGCAATTTTAATAAAAGGAGCTCAAATTAAATCATGAAGAAAATTATTCCATACATAGGGATGGGAAAACTGAAGCATTTGTTGTTAGTTCTGTATCACAACATAGTGACAGGTTCAGAAGAACCCATGTATTTGTCCTCAGCTGTTCCTCTGTTCACTCATGATTACTGTCAGAGAGGAATAAAACTGTAAGTATGAAGACTGGGAAAGACAGTATTGTTCTTTAAGTAGCTTGAAATGCTTCACTGTAGTGGATGGAATTATGTCTTCCTATCATTCACTGCTAAGCAGACACTTTTGAGATGTAGTCAAAGCCCATGAGAAATTTGTGGAAATCAGGAGTGCTTCACTTTTAGCTCAGCATTGGAGAAATCCACCCTTTAAGCACCTACCACTCTGTTGTTCTCACTTCCGTAAGTTCATGAGAGATCTCCTTGATTCAAGCTAGTAAAATTGAGATCAGAATTAGATTACTACCACAACTTTTGAAGTGATAAATGATAATTTGAGGACAGAATCAGTGAAAATCCATTCTTAGGGGCAGCCAATATCAAGAAGCATCAGGGTTACAGACTAATGTGATATTTGTATAAGCAGCAGTATTACCCTAGCTTTAAGGAAAACTTAATATTTTCCTCAAAAAGAAAGAAGGCTGATTGGATGGGGAAGCACATAAAATTGTCACATACACACTGGCTATCATTTATAGCTAAAACTTTATTCAAGCTATTTTTTTCTTTCCTCTCAAGTATTGTCATTCCCCTTTTTCACTTTTTCTAAATCAAACCATTTAAACCTCCATTTTGTGGAGTCCACTTCCTGCCATGTCTTCAGCACATCTTCTCTTGTCTCAGAGCTCTTCCTATGCCCTGCCTTTGTAATCCACATATGTAGACATCTATGTGTTTTTGAATGTGAGAAGATAAATGCTAAAGTGGTGAACGGTGTCAAATGCATGTAGACATTGGGCCACTTCAGTGGCACTCTGCCCTGCGAGCGAGATCTGAGCCTCGGTTTTCAAGTTTCTCTTGAAAACACTTGCCCAGCATTCTCTACCTTGCATATGGTTTTTCCCCAATCTATAATCTGCTTTTTAACATACAAAATTCCTCCTCCATTTCTTCTTTTTGCTGGTAAGTTGGTATTTTTTGTACTATTTCCCATGGTCTAGAAAAGCTTTCCTGACTACTTGCATCTGACTGACTCTGTCTACCTCTAGCTTCCCTGTCTACAAACACAGCACAGAGCCACACAAGAATAAGAACCAAAGCATCACAACTTCTCAAAGCTCATTTGTCCTAGTAAGCAGCAAAGTATTTTAACCCAGTGGCAGCGCAGCTGTACTACTGCCAGTATTTGAGTCACCATGAGGACCTGTGTGTGCAGACTATTTGGCCACAGACACAGCTGCAGAGTCAGTGCCCGGTGTGTGTGTGTCAGGCCTATGCAGGGACCTGAGTAGATCACAGTAGTTTAACAGAAATAAATTGAGAAGTCGACCTGAGTAAGTCGTTGCAGAAACTACTCTGTGGCCACCTTTAGAGCTGTTTCATCCCTTATTGAGTGATTTAGCTTGCACCAGTGAATCTCAAAGTTTTTACAGCTGACTTCTATGGAAAACTCCTGAAAAAGGACATGAATACTTACAAGGCAGTACCACAATATAAAAGTTGCATAAAATGCTTTCATTGCTTTTTTTCTTCCATTTTCTTGATTGCATAATAGAAGAATCCCTACTTCTGTTTGCTATTGTCTTTGTGAAAATCAATATGTTTATAAAATGTAGCCTTGACAGACAGCATTTCCTCAGATCTAACAAAATTACTACCAAGGAGACATTTTTCTTGCCACAAAGATGTCTTAAGACATTTTACAGCTGCAGATTGGGTATCTCATTGTAGCCTCTTCATGGTTTAGCAGGGTGCAGGCAACTACTGGATCATACCAGACAACTGAGGCTTCACAAATCAGCTCCTTTCTCCAGTCTGCTGTGTTCTGTTCCCTAATATAACCACACTTTTCTTTTTTGTCTTTTGAAAAAGTTTCTTTAGCATTACCAACAACAAATCAGATTGCCGATTTGGTCTTAACTGGTGTGATTGTTACCTTTTTCCAAAGTAGCACAAGTAATTGTTTCTGAGATGAGAATGTTCTCCATATCATCTAAGCACTGATTCTGAGGTTTCCGTTACAAAGCAGGTGGAAACATCATTCATTTTCTGCAGCTGGAGAGCGTGTTTAAGAGAAGAGAGGCGGTAGCTGGGTGCTGTTTCCCCTGCAGAACAAAAAAGTGAGAAGGGCAGCTCCCCTTACAATCTGCACACGCGTTACTGCGCCCTGATGCTCAGAGCAGGTTACAGCTCTTGCTTCTTCGTGGTGTAGAATGGGAGAATACTCCTCCTTTTCCCTAAATTTGATCCCCATGCCACCCGGACAGTGTCGGTTCCTCTCTAAGTCCTGGGACTTGCTTCAGTTACTCGGTGCCCCATTTTCCCTCTCCCGTGCCGAGTGAGCCAACGGAGCGAGCAGCAGCAGGCGCAGCAACGCCGGGGGCAGAGCAGGAGGAGCGCGGTGCTTTCCCTGTCCTGCAGGATTCGCTTTGGCTGCTCTGTATCTTTAAGGGGCTGACCCCATCCCACGGTGAGCCGTTATAAAGGCAGGTAAGCAGCCGTGCCCCGAGCAAAGAGCTGAGAGCAAAGCGGGGTGCAGCTCCCCTGTAATGACTGGCCACCACGGTTGGGGATATGGGCAGGATGACGGTAGGTTATGGCATTTCTGCGCTGCATCTCTCTATCTTCCCCCACTCGTTTTCTTTCTAGAACTGTTGCCTGAGCCCTGCAGAGCTGCCTGCATTTCAATGTCTGCAAGCATCGGTCATATACAGCAGGTAATGAATTACCTTATTGATAATAAATAGCACCCAGAAAGTGGCACCAAAAGATGCACAAACTTAAGCCTGCTGCCTTTCCTTGTTGCAATCAGTGCTCCTAAAAGGAGGGAAGCAGTACTGGGGGGGGGGGGGTTCGGGCGGCAAATATTACAGATGGGTCCTTTTGCCAAAAGCTGTTATGAAAAGGATTAACCGTGTCTGTCTCTCCAAAAGCAATTCTTTTAAGTAAAGAAGATTTAGTAGAACAGTAATAGATCTTCTGATCCTGTGCAGCTGTTGAAATGTGATATCTAGGCTTCCATCGAAGTGACTAAAATATGGTATATGTTATATATTTCTAGAACATCAATAAATTGTACAGATCAGTATCAGGAATCTGTTATGGAACAATTTATGCTTTATGATTTGACACTTTTTAATTTAGTCATCCTCCTTTGCTTCCCACCTCCAAGAATGTGTGTCACAGAGTGAGAGGATATGTGAAGCTACTGAAAGATTCCCATAATAGTGTATTATAGCACCTGTATCCTTTACAGAGAAGGATGGATGAGTGCCTGCTGTTGTCCAATACAACAGTCTTTTGCATAACTTTCAGGAGTGTCTCCCTCTTTTGACAGCAATTATTTTAGCTGCTGAGTGTCCAACAAGAGTCTTTCGCATAACCTTCAGGAGCCAGTCTCTCTCTCCCTCTCAACAGCAATTATTCTAGTTTCTGTGAGTCCCAAAGCAAGTCTGAATTCTAAGTGAAGCTGGTTAGTGCTAGTAGATAGTGTTATGTGTTTGGGCGTATCAGTAGTAGTAATAAAGCCATGCATATTCTTATGAAGCTTATAAGAGACAAATGGTATTGCCTAAGCTTGTGTAACAGCATTTAAATACTAAATCTGCTTTATAGGCAGGCTGAGCAAAGATATTCTGTAAGATCAGCTTTTCAGAAAATGCCAGAGACAAATGAGTATAATGGATCAGTGTTTTTGTTACATAAACTCAGGGAGGGTAAATACCTGTGCTTGATTAAAACAGTTTCCACTTGTGAAAGTATGTGAGAATGCTACAATTAAAAATGTGCCTCTTGAGAATCTTAAAATAAAATTGTTACTGTTAATACTTTAGGAACATAAGCAGTAGAAGAATTTAATTGCTTCTTGCACTACCATACCAAAGTAGAAAAAGAAGTTGTAAGAATAAGCATTTCTTTGATACAGATAAGGTTTTGTTATCTCAAACGGGATAAGAATGTTCCAGCTCTGGCAGTAGAGAGCTGTGTTATTAAATTGGTGTTTCTCCCCACTCTATTGGGGTCAGGAAGTCCAAAAATGTTAATTATCACAATGTACCCTTCACTCAGGGTAGAGAGATACCATAATGGGCATGAGTGTAGAATGAAGCTGCCTCAAAGATTTACTGCAGTCATAAAATGGTTTTAAAAATAACTGCATAGTCAGTAGCTAAGAGATTGAGTCATCTGCATCTAATTTGAATCACTGGAGCTTTTACACTATCTTTCCCAGGAAGAATTAAATGCTGTTTCTTTGGGGGAGTGTATGTGCGCATGCAAGTGTGTTTACATCTGCACCCACCTTGGAAGGTTTTCAGATACCTTAGCAATGTAACTACAAACTCTGCAGAAAATTAGTAGCACAAGTAACTGAAGATACAGCAGTCTGTTGATGTGCTGTGATTTCCTCAGTGTGTTTTGTTCAAGGTATTTGAATCCCTCATCTTGTTGCAGCCTGTTTGGGCTAATAAAAACCCACCAGCTTAGAATTTAAGTGGACTGCTCAAATACCAAACTTTCAAGTCACTTCTGCTCAGCAAGCTTTACTTCAAGTCTCATGAAAACCTGTAATGATTATCTTGTGTATAGTAGGAACAAAATAATGGTGCTTTCCTTTCTTTCCTTTTGAAGGACCTTCAGAGTGGCACAAATCTTATCCTATTGCCCAAGGGAACCGCCAGTCACCTATTGATATAGTTTCTGCAAGAGCAGTTTATGACCCTAATCTGAAGCCACTTATTATCTCCTATGAATCATGTACATCTCTCAACATCTCCAACAATGGCCATTCAGTTATGGTTGAGTTTGAAGATACTGATGACAAGACAGGTGAGACTAACACACAGCCAACTAATGTGGAGTACCATTTTGTGACTTAGTGAGGGGAAACAATTAAGTACATCCTGTATAGTATACTTTATATGATGTATAATTTCAGTTCAGAACAAGACATATGACCAGAGCCCTTTATATTTTGTGTTCTTGAGCCTCGCATTTCTTGTCACTTGAGTCTCTCTAGCAATGCAATATTGCACAGCAGAATAGCATTTCTGCATTAGGAAAAGCTCTTGCATCACAAAAATCAGAGGTTTGTTTGCAGTGCTTCTCTTTTAAATCGGGGTTGTCAGTTTGCTAGACAGGGAATCCATGCATCTCTCCTGCACTCTTAGATCACATCCAGCATGTAGAGTAGGTATGTACAGTCCTCACTGCCCTGTTGCCATGATAACCCAAACCAAAGATGCTAACGCACATGCCAGGTCTGTCTGGCTCACTGCCCAGTGTCCATCCACAGGGGTAGGGAAGAGAAGAGGATTACCAGAGATCAGGTCATACAGCCTAGCCATAATCATACAACTTGGTATAGTGACTATCTGGACCAGTCACTGTTACCTTGCATCTTTTTCTTTCCTCCCTGCCTCATAGCAGTTCAGTTTCTACAGAAATTATAGAATTCTGAGTTGGTAGCAGCTTGTGGATGTTGGACTATCTGCAATTGTATATTATTCTTGTCTCAGCTCTTGGCAGAGAATATACATGATTTAAGTGATTGATTACTGCTGCTAATTTTACTTCCATGGTAGACCTTGCTTTTACATCTGGGGAGTAGGGGAAGAGCATTCAAATGGAGATGATAAAGTACCTGGGAAATGGAAAGAGTGCATTTAAAACAAACAAACAAAAAACCCTCACAAACAACTGAACAATTTTTAAACCTCTCAGCTAATTTTTGTCTTCCATTTGGGTGTGTTTACTGATTCTAGCTACATAGGATACCCTAGATACTCAAAACAAGTTACTTTTTCTGTGGAGTGACTTGTCTGTGCTTGTAACACTTTGAAATAAGGGCTGGGGGTTAAAATTCCAGCCATTTTGTTTAAAAATTTCTCTTCCGGAATGAATCTAAGAAACTGCCTAATTGAAGGGTCATGTTTTTGAGTGTCTTTACTGAATCTGAAGACTGGATGTGCATTTTCCAAAATCTTACTACACAGATCCTTCAAGCATGTTACCCTACAAAGAGAATTTGTAAAATATACCTGGAAGTGTTATCTCAGCTTGCTAACTACTTTCGTACAATTGTAAGCTGAACAATATCTACAGAACAGTGAACTTTAACCAGCTTTAGAAGTTTAAGAACATCATCTATTACTCTGCATTTAGAGATACAAACTCAGAGCACATGCAGGAATTAGGACCTCTGCCCTTTCTACACTAAGCACACGCCTTGTTTTAATAATGCTTTCAAGGAAGACTGCTAGGAGTGGAAAACATGGTTTAAAGTGTTTTTAGTTGTGTTGAAATAGATCTAGTGACTCACAGCTCTGCATAAATGGCACAACAGAATTTTGACAGTAACCCATCATAGCTAGATTACTTAATATTTGAGACAGGTGATGCATTCCATTGCTAAGTTCAGAAAAACATACTAGGAGATACTTATATTCTTAATACTAAAACCTTTGCTTTGGCAAGGCCAGTTTCCTGCATAAAAGCCAGCTGGAGCTATGCACATGTGGTAGCACTGTGTAAGCCCCAGCTTTAATTTTTTAAATAAAATTATATGGATTACACTGAGGATAAGTACTTTACAGATACTAAATGTAATTTTAAGTTTCTTAATATAAGACTGATCAGGTTTTCATGTCTGGGCAAAATTTATTTGATTTAGTGCCATATAAAGTTACAGGAGGATTACTGATGCTGTTGATAAAGTATCTTCTATACGTGGCGTCTTAAATATTCATCTGTTCTTAAGTGTTATTTCTAAATGATGTGTGAAGTTTCTCTGTAGCATTTCCTCATCTTTATAAGGTGATTTGAGATTCTGAATGGTGTCATGTAAAGTACAAGCTATTATATTACCTCTTCTATGGGATCAGGTATTTAAAGGAAACAGAGTATAGGTAAACTCCACTGGAAGTAAAGGCACTCTAAAGAGGAAATTATTACCTTGATTATCAGGTACACAGTTCAGCTATCTACACTCTTGCACAAAATCTCAAGTAGTACTGTCAAAAATATTTTAGGTACATGAGTTTCAAATTGTGATTTATTTTTTAATATACAACTTGGATTTATTGTGTTTTACAGGAAAAGCATAACCATAATAATGGCTACCATATCTTCATATGTCAAATACACTCTTTCAAAAAAGCTACAGAATTCTGTACAAGTAGCTACTCAATGTTTTTAATTTAATTTTTTACAGGTATTCAGGTGCTTTCCATTACAAAATCAACCCTTCTAAATGTCTGGATGGTGCATCACTTTCATATTGGCAACTGGGGATGCTGCTGGCTTTTTTCCACTGTTGTGCCAAAAGTGGTTAGTTTTTACTCACAGGAAGGTAAAAAGCCAGAATGCTTAAGATTTTTCCTTTTTTTTTTTTTTTTCCTGCCTAGCAATCAGTGGTGGTCCCTTTGAGAATCCATTTCGACTAAAGCAGTTTCACTTTCACTGGGGGACAAAGCACAGCCAGGGATCGGAGCATACAATAGATGGCAAACCTTTTCCCTGTGAGGTAACGATGTGTTTTTACAAATGGGATTAATTCATGTAAAAGCTGTTGACAAATGACTTTGCAGTGGGGACTGGTTGTCCCTTAGGATTCTGATTGCTTACTCACCATGGTTAGGTCAGTACAGACTTCAATAAGAATTAAATGACCATGCTGGTGCTATCCATAGCTTAGAAATGGCTTCATCTGGGGGCTCTTGAGAAAGTTCTGCAAAGCTAGGACAAGGCACAGGCCTTTCCCAGCACATTCTATCCCAAATACTACAGTAGCATAGCATCCTGGAATCTACCAATGAGTACTGGAGCATAGTGCTTCATGGGATGAAGGCCTGTACCAGGGAAATTAGGTCACAGGTTAATGCCTGATTTGTTTCAAATTAAGGCTGTGTGGTGGGTTGACCCTGGCTGGATGCCAAGTGCCCACCAAAGCTGCGCTATCACTCCCCCTCCTCAATTGGACAGGGGAGAGAAAATATAACGAAAGGGTCATGGGTCAAAATAAGGACAGGGAGAGATCACTTGCCAATTACTGTCACAGGCAAAATAGATGCGACTTGGGGAAAATTAATTTAATTTATTACCAATCAAATTGGAGTAGGATAATGAGAAATAAAACCAAATCTTAAAAAACCCCACCTTCCCCCCACCCCTCCCTTCTTCCCAGGCTGATCTCCACTCCTGATTTTTTTCTACCTCCTCCCCAGCAGTGGGGCAGGGGGTTGGGGAATGGGGGTTGCGGTCAATTCATCACACGTTGTCTCTGCTGCTCCTTCCTCCTCAGGGGGAGGACTCCTCACACTCTTCCCTGCTCCACTGTGGGGTCCCTCCCATGGGAGACAGTCCCCCATGAACTTCTCCAGCGTGAGTCCTTCCCACAGGCTGCAGTTCTTCACGAACTGCGCCAGCATGGGTCCTTCCCACAGGCTGCAGTCCTTCAGGCACAGACTTCTCCAGCGTGGGTCCCCTGCAGGGTAACAGCCTTCTTTGGGGACCCCCCTGCTCTGGCATGGGGTCCTCCACGGGCTGCAGGTAGATATCTGCTCCCCTGCAGACCTCCCTGGACTGCAGGGGGACAGCCTGCCTCACCATGGTCTTCACCACGGGCTGCAGGGGAATCTCTGCTCCGGCGCCTGGAGCATCTCCTCCCCCTCCTTCACTTACTTTGGTGTCTGCACAGTTGTTTCTCTCACATTCTTACTCCTCTCTCTGGCTGCAGTTGTGCAGTCCTGTGTCGTCCCCCCCCCTTCTTAAATATGTTATCATAGACACGCTACCACCACCCCTGATGGGCTCAGCCTTGGCCAGTGGTGGGTCTGTCTTGGAGCCAGCTGGCATTGGCTCTGTTGGATGTAGGAGAAGCTTCCAGCGCCTTCTCACAGAAGACACCCCTGTAGCCCCCCTGCTACCAAAACCTTGCTGTGCAAACCCAATACAGTCTGATATATATAAACTTTTTTTAGTGTCTGCCCATGCTTATGGGCTGGTCCAAAAGACTGAACTTCTCATCTTTCCTAAGATGCCTTTGGAGCAAAATGTACATGCTGTTTTGAACAACTGTTAGTGCCTGTTAACATGAGACAACCTATGTTCACAGCTTCTATCACTAAGTTGTTTAATTCTTATTTGTTGTTTTTCTTTAAAGCTCCACTTAGTTCACTGGAATGCCAGAAAATATGCAACATTTGGAGAAGCAGCAGCAGCTCCAGATGGCTTGGCAGTAGTTGGTGTTTTCTTGGAGGTAAAAATCACAAAAATAGCATGTTTACATGATGAAAAGCATCATGCTGTCAAGTGTTTGAGAACTAAGCCACATATTTAAGACGTGCTTAAGGAAAACAGATGACTTACTGGAAGCAGTAACTCATTGCAAATTGCTGTTAAACTTTAGTAGGAATGTTGAGATTCAGATAAGAAAACACCTATTCAAAGCATAATTACAGTTGTTTTTATTTAACCTGTCTATTCCATTATTTTAGATTGGGAAAGAGCATGTCAATATGAACAGACTCACTGATGCTTTGTACATGGTAAAATTTAAAGTAAGTTTTAAGCTCTTTAAATTTAATTGTTTCTGGGATATCCTTTAAAAATCAAGTTCATATATGTGTTTGAGACAAAAAAGGAAAATCACCCACCACAAATCCTCCCATCATTAGAACATCACTGTAGTTGTATTTTCCTCTTCCTCTCCAAAGTTCATCTTATTTGCCTGATCTTGGGTGCCTCCCAAGGCTATGCTGACTCTGCTGATCATTCTAAGGTTCTACCTTTCCCAGAGTATCTAAAATCAAAAGCCTCATGACCCTTCAGGTTCAGCTCTTACACTCAGCAAAATAATCCTTTTCTATTGAGCCTAGCCCTGAACAAGTCAAAGCTGGCTGTCTATCTTCTGCTGGAAAGCTCTGTCAGAGGACAATCTTAATGAGGTCCTGAGCTAGTCTATTTTTACAGTGGTACCTGAAGGTGGTCTTTAACCAGTTGTATCTCAGAGCTTTGCTGAAGATTGATACCTGCTGCACTTTCTCAAGTGCAGACTGATCAGACAACTACAAATGTTATCCTTTCTGGATTTACATGAGGTTAATGCATTCTATAACAAGCATAAGTTCTAATATGTAAAATAAACTATATTTTATAAACTACAATACTTCAGTGGGCATATTACTTCTCACTCCTCTGTACATGCTTGTGAATGAAGGGAAATGAAGGCAGTTACATAGCAATATGTAGACTGCAGATACACTAAATGATACTTTGTTTAAGTGATTTCTTCCCCTTGCAGAAAAGAAATAGTTATCCCTCAGTTGTAGTGGTGGAAGGTCTGCAGGTTTGGGGGATAAGCACTGGCAATAAGCTGCTCATTCTGTTCCTTATGTGCAGTTTTACAGACAGTTGGACAAGTGCTTTCTGAGTGACTAAGTACCTTTCAGATACTCCTACAGGCTGAAAAATATTGCCCTAGACTGTGCTACTACTTTAGGTAGCACCTCCTTCTATTTCTACTGGTCTTTTTGTTGATCTACCTTCCTCTAATTTTAGACTTGAACATTTGATTTTTTTTTAAAGCCAATATTTGTCCTAGCAGACAATGACTGTTTGAGGCTAAGTTTTCCATAGTTTCAAATTTTCTACTCAAATAGAATAGCATAGCATAGAAAATAGCAAGTAATGAGACAAGGAATTTTGCCATGATACTACCCATAGCCCATACTGAACACTATATACAGAATACACTTCCTGCATTATTTTTAGACCTTTTGTGACAAGAGCTGAACTTTGGTAGAGGCAATGGGGCAAGAACTCAAAGTCCAGTAAGCCAGCAGCAGGCATCACACTTGCCATGCTACTCTTGGATAACAGTTTTTATAAGGCAGCCAAGCTTTTATTGACTTTTCCTTTCCCCTACTTCTTAATATTACATGAGCATTTTTTTCTCTTTCAAAGAGTTCTTTAGCCTGCACTTAAAAGTAAAAAGATAAATTTCAAGTATTGATTTTTTCTTTTTTTTTTTTTTCCCTCCCCAGGGAACAAAAGCTCAATTTAGAAGCTTCAACCCCAAATGTCTCCTGCCTTTGAGTCTAGATTATTGGACATACCTTGGTTCTTTGACAACACCTCCCCTTAATGAGAGTGTGACATGGATAGTGCTGAAAGAACCCATCAGAATTTCTGAGAAACAGGTAAAGTTTTGATAACCTCCCAGTTCTTGTAGGAGTCAACACTGGATAAACAGGCAGTGACTGTTTTGATTTGCAATGAGGCTAAGTTAAGACAATTAGCCTGTGAATAATCAGCCTGTTGAATAATCAGGGCTTCTGTTTTTTCTGTTAATACTCTCTAGGATCTTTCCTTGAAACTGTTCTATTAACAGATTAAAATGTACTGAATACTTTCCTTTGATCCTTTTCTAAAAAACATTGTTTGTCCTTTTAAGCAGTAAATTATTTCACCTGAATTTACAGCTGGAGAAATTCCGCATGCTCCTCTTCACCAGCGAGGAAGACCAGAGGATCCAAATGGTGAATAATTTTCGCCCACCTCAGCCTCTTAAGGGGAGAGTAGTTCGAGCTTCCTTCAAGGCCTGAAGAAAACTGATAATGGCCCTGAGATATCCAAGAGCTTCCACATCTGAGATACTACAGACAGAAACTCTGGTCTTCAGATTGTTCATGGAACACACAAGATAGCCATTTCCATGAATACTCTACTTGGAGGGGGACAATCTTTTGATTTTATATTTTGTTTGAATTGCTTATTCTTTTGAGAAATGGGATCTTTTTAATGTAAGGGATAGTCAAGTAAACTAGAATGTTCTCCAAGACCTGAAACTCTAAAAACTAAGATGAAATTAAAATCCCGCCTAATATCATATGGGAAATTATGTAGTGATCTACTAGCACTGGTGGCCACAACTTCTAATTGTCTCATTTAATACATGGTGAAACAGTAGTCAAGAATTTTGGACAAATTGGACTTAAGTTTTTGTTACTGGTCTCCTGTTAGTATTTGCTGAGCTCTGTCTGATTTAAAGATTGCTTTCACTGTATTCTTGCTGTCTGACAGTGCACATGAGTAGCACTAGAAAAAAGTTCTTTACTCACCTCAAGTAGGCACTACATATATATATTTTAAAGTTTCTGTTCTAAGATGCTATTTTATAACGAATTTAAAATAACAATGTAAATGCTGTGTTTAAAAGCAGGCCATTTTATTGCACAGTGTTGTTCAGACATTTGTTCGTTTAGCCCATGCAGCATACATAACTATAATGCCCTTGTCAATTTTCTTGAAAAGAACATCTGTAACAATTCAGGTACGTGTTTTGTGGTTCTTAATTATTCAAATTCTACCTCAGTGAAGTGGTTTGCTCTGCAATACGACCTCTTTCATTGTCTGCCCTAAAGAAAGTAGATATTTTCTTTACTTTAGGGACTTAACATGGGTAGACCTTGACTGCACTGCATGTGCATTGTTGCACAAATCATCCCCTCACTATGGCAGTCTCTCAGGGATTCTCCCTGCAGATCATCAGTCCTGAGTCACTTTACAACTTGAAAAGAAAGTTGCTTTAGAAAAGCCATGTGTTAGTGTTACTGCTTCTGCAGCTTAGTGGCAAAATTCAGACTTGTGTCTCCGGTACTAAATACAGTGATGTTATCTGTCACTACCCGGGGAGGGGGGGCGGGGAGTGGTGGTGAACAGCAGCTACTATGGGCTGTTCTCCTTTTTCAGAAGGGGAGAAAGACACTAAATGTGAAGCACAGTACAAGGAATGGAAGACTAGAATTCTAGACCTAACTCTTCTAAGTTATTCTGGTACACTGACTTGAAGTTTTCTGTTCCTCAGTTTCATCTTCTATAAAATGAGGGTAACGCTGACCTACCTCACAGGGATGTTGTGAGGGCTAATTCAACATTGTTTTAAATGTGAGATTCTTATATAGCAGATGCTAAAGAAAACAGAAAATGATTACTAAATGCAGTGTTTTTAGCTATTATGAATGTAACTTTGCTAGTAATACAAACTGGTATTGCAGAAAATCTATTTCATGTATCTTAATTTCTTTAACAAATGAAATAAATGAGACTTTAAAATCAAGTGTGCATCCCTTTGTCTTTTATTTTTTTAATAGATCTACCTCTCTCTACTTCCAGCACTGTTTTTCTTGGACTTTCATTAACAGAAATGCTGTTTGATATCTTCAACTTATCTTCAAAACTTTGTCTCGTTTTTTTTTTTCCCTGCTACAACCACTCAGTCTAATAAAATGAAAATCTTATTTATCCACAGAATGTGTCCATTCTGTGACCTTGAACACAGTACTTAAGCTTATTTAAGGGTGGTTTACTCATGAGCAACAGAAGGATAATGTTTAGCTTGCAAGGTTATTGTAAAAGTTTAGCTGTCATAAAGAGCTTTAAATGCTGAATCCCCCAAGGTATTCAGTTTCTGGGAGAAACTAAACTATACCTTACTTCAGAAATAAATTTTATCTTAGCTACAGGGGTTTTCTTAGTTGTTGGATTAAAGAACCTTATATATTTTTACTATAGTGAAGCAAAATATAAAAGGAAGCCTTTTATTTTCTTTGTCATTTCTTGAAACCCTGGTCATCCAATAAAAAAGTACAAATATTTAAATTTTCTGTGGTTTTAAAGCTATATACTACATTTTACAATTTAATGCACTTAATATATTTTGAGATTACAAAAGCAAACTGCAAGAAGAAATATCAAGTATAATATCAAATAGTGAATTTTATTGTATACTCTATGAATAATGCAATCAGTATGATGAAGGTGTAGTATTCGGTCAGATTAAGCTTTGCTGTATTGTCTTTTCCCTGTAACTGAAAATACAGTCTACCAGAAAAAAACATAGCAGAACCAATAACAATAAAACTGGTGATTTTAAGTCTTTCGGTGAGGAACAATTTAAGTTATTTTTCAGAAGGGGTAGTATGAAGAGCTTCACTGGTGATTTGTTCTCATTTAGCAAAGTTCTAGTAATAATGTTCTGGAAGAGGTACAAGGAACCATATTCATTTGTATTCCTTATACAGATTCTTGACTTGTTAATATGTTGGTTGAAATATAGTTAACTTGAGAGCCTTATAGCAAGAACACCTTTATTTCTTTTACCAACATTATTTTATCTTGTTGTCCATGAGATGAGGATAATCAAAGCCAAGGACTGTGTACTATATTTATAGTATGGTTTGAAGCCCTCAGAAGATATTAACTATAACAGTACAAACTTCTGTTATTTAATAATTCCACTTTTGATCTGAGCTACATTTTGGTACTTGCATGTACAGATGTGCTGGTTTCGGCTGGGATAGAGTTAATTTTCTTTCTAGTAGCTGGTATAGTGCTATGTTTTGGGTTCAGTGTGAGAAGAATGTTGATAACACACTGATGTTTTCAGTTGTTGCTAAGTAGTGTTTATACTAAGTCAAGGATTTTTCAGCTTCTCATGCCCAGCCAGTGAGAAGGCTGGAGCGGCACAAGAATTTGGGAGGGGTCTCAGCCAGGACAGCTGACCCGAAGTGGCCAAAGGGGTATTCCATACCATGTGACGTCATGCCCAGTATATAAACTGGGGGAGTTGGCCTGTGGGGGGGATCACTGCTTGAGACCTAACTGGGCATTGGTCGGTGAGTGGTGAGCAATTGCATTCTGCATCACTTCTTTTGTATAATCTAATCCTTTTATTATTATTGTCATTATCGTTATTAGTTTCTTCCTTTCTATTTTATTAAACTGTTCTTATCTCAAGCTATGAGTTTTACCTTTTTCCTTCCGATTCTCTCCCCAGTCCCACTGGGTGGGAGAAGTAAGTGAGTGGCTGCGTGGTGCTTAGTTGCTGAGGTTAAACCACAACAGACATGACCATCAATTTATGAAGTGCTGCCTTTTGTTAGACCGTAGGATTCAAACAACTATTACCAATTTGCTTATCTGAACTCCTAACGGTATTCTAGCTAGCACCTTTAGTACAAATGTTCCCCTCAAAGGTAATTCATAGGGCCAAATACCTGTGCTATGCATCAGTACTTTTTGAGGATTTGCAGAAACTTCATTTTTTCTGTTTTCCTTCTGAACTGTCTTCCTCTGCACACAAACATTGCTCAGCAAAGCTCCTCCATCAAGGTCATTCAAATTCTAGAACATGTGCTATCTTTATCTTCTACCAACTATGTTGAACGAAAAATAGCAGTTGAATCTACTCCAGCAAGATTTAGCTTAACTTGTAATAGGGTCACAGTTGTCATGACTGAGAGAACGGGAGGACAGTGACTGAAATTGCACAGCTGTAAAAAGCTAGATTAAAAATGCCATCTAGTGGCTGTCTGCTTCCATTTCTTACCACAAGGCTTAAAACAATTTTTAAGGCCAATTCAGTCAAAATACAACAGAAGAGAGAATTGAACTTTGACAATAATTACTTTTAAAGGTATGGGTGAATGTAATGGAAATCCCTGTGCTGGCTCTACATACACAGTCCTTGAAACTCCTTTATCAGATAAGAATCAATCTTACAAAATAAACTCAATAAATCAGTTACAATTTTTTGTTCCTCTTTTCACTGATAGAGTGGAGATATCCTCTGCCTGGTAAACCGCATGCTATCTTAACTTTTAACTTTTTAACTTTAACAGCTAAAGTTAAGGTTCAACTTAGGGTTTTTTTCCCCATCCTCTGCAAACAAAGATTTTTAGGCAGTTTCAGTGATATAGTTGGTATGATCTAGCAGTGATTTATAATGATAAATTTCATGATGAGTGTGAATTAACACAAATATAAGCATCAGAGGAAAAGTGTTGCAAGGTACCTTGTCACCAGATGGTGCTTTTGGTGGTGTTCAAAGGTCAGAAAGATAAAAAAGGGAGTGTTTCAGGAAAAAAGCAGAGATAAGCCTGAAAAAAAAGAGATGTTATCTTATACCTCAGATTAGCTGTTTTCCTCTCTGAATTCCTTCGGCCTGCAAAAGTGTCCATTTAGTAAAGACACTGTGTATCAAAGCACGCTGCTCTATGCTGCCTGCAAGAGCTGGGGTCTCAATTTTTTTCTCACTCACCCTGAGGAAACTACAGTACACTGATGAAACCTGACTGACTTTAACAGAACTATTCCCAGTTTGCACAGCTGTAAGGCAGAGAATGTTTATACCTCTGATGTTCCATTTATACCACTACTTGCATTACATTTGAATTTTAGTAAAATTTCAGCCCCTCACTTTAAGTTGTGAACAGCAATATAATAATGCAAACTGTCATTTCACTTCATTTCACATTAGTATAGTGGAACATTAAATGCAGCAATTCAGGAGTCAACTCAGTCTGTTCATCTGTTGGAGGGGAAGAAAGTGGAAGGAGGAGGGGGAGGAAAGGAATATAATTACTTTTCTACACATGAGCACTTCATACCAAGCCAGAAGACTTTCCTGCACTTGTAAGCTGTCCTCAAGAAATTTAAACTCACTTTTACAGTGGTAAGAACCTTAACTGAACATGTATTTCAGTTTAACTTGAACCATTTTGTAAGCAATGGCTGGTAAAAATTATATATGTGGAGTTCAGATCCAATTACAGCAACTAGATAGGCCTTTGCACCAGTC